TCTATCAAAATAATTAGGTAAATTAAATAGGTACATACAGGTAGGTAGCTACACATTTTTATTATTCGTAAAGCTCCATTCTGATTGTGAACGAACGACGCCTGAGATTTGCCATAATAATTTCAATGAAATTTCATCGAAGTTTTTCTCCTGAAACCGGAATTAGATTACGGCTGGAACTCTGTAACATAATACAATAAATAACAAGTACAGGTAGTGCGCCACTGATTCCACTTACCTGTAGAGAAAAGGTTAGGAAATCCGCATTATTTTTTCCACAAACCAGGCACAGCTGAAGCATGATTCTCCACATGTGTTAAATTTAATATTTTTTTGAATAGAAAACAGAGCTCATAATCATTAAAATCATAATAAAACGCGAGAACAAAATCACAAAACAACAAATCGAAAATCAGCTGTTTCAGCCATTGCTCAAGAAGTGCCGTTACTACGGCACAAAATTTTTACGCACGCCCTTAAAAGCTGATTCCCACATAAACCAAATAAACACGCGTTGACAAGTGCTGACCAATCAAATCGTTTAAAAAAAAATCGCTTCAGGTTTTTCTAGGTATCCAACGTATCAGTGCATACTTGGTATAAGACATGGGCTTAGACTGTGACCCCTTCTTGGCTGTATTTATTTTTAATGCTTTGCGTATCTAGGTGTGCCTGTATATAATCTAAGGCTGGTAGTGTAAAATTTGAGATTGAATTTAGGAAATTTGAAAATTAAGTGGATAATAAAATAATGTCTTCGAAAAATGCATATGTCAGTTAACAATGGGACCGAGGAGGTAGCCATGTTGAAGAGCAATAGAGGTGTATAAGTAGCTTTATAATTGCAAAAAAAAACAACATCTGTTGAATTATTAAGTGTGGAGGGAAATGAAATTGTCAATAAAAAATAATTATATTGTTGATTACTTAAATACAGGGTGTATCAGGTTAGAGTACAAATTTTAAACATGTAATGATATGGCCCATTTCAAGCTAAAACTGTCGAACTATTAACCATGGGTCAATTCTTGGTATTTTAAGAGTTATCGCAGAATCTAAATTTAGAAAAATGTTAATAATCTGACAACAATATACTGATATTTATTCTCCGGGAGCACCTTAGATAAGAAATAGTGTAAACAAATTATGGGTAAATTTTAAAAAACAGTTATTTTTTTTTTGGTTTCTTATTCGCTTTTAAATTACTTTTGCAGTGAAAATAAAAAATGTGTCGATTTTATTGTTGTGAATTGCACTAAACATTTAAGAGAAAAATTAAACTCAGCTACTTGCCATATCCTGATTTGGGCCAGGCAACGAAGGAAAAATAGGAAAAAAAATCGTGTAGGAGCCAACTTTGGCACAGATGTAGGTGAATAACATACTAAAAGTCCTGATGAGTGGTGAGCGAGCTGAAGTTCTGGGGGGCGACTGGAGGTATTTTTTTTTTTTAGTTTTTCCTGAATACATAACTCGAAAACCACGGCTTTTAGCAAAAAAATATAGAGTAAATATTCTACATGAAAATTTCGATAAAAAAGGTTCTTTATATGTTTTTGCTAGGATTAATACGCACGGAGATAGGGATGAAGAATAAACGATATACTTAAAAACTCAATTTTGTTTATTGATATATCAATTGGCAAAAGTAAACTGAACAAAGGTGATGCAGCCTAGATGTGGCTATTATTTATCCTGTTAATCTGAATCGTCATCAATGTCGACGTCATCGACAACAGTGGGCCCATTTGTGGATGTGCCGAGGCATGTGCTTACTAACCCAAACCGTGTTCCTCACAATCGTTGTACTATCGATAGTGTCCTAAAAACCATCGATAGTGTCATCGATAGTTCCCTACTTGTATCTAAAGTCTCCTCGTAAATTTTTGAGTCTGATTCACCATTGAAACTATGAATTGAAGAAGTATTCCCTGAAAGTAGAGTTGAAATTTATTTCCAAAAAAAAAACGCCAGAGTCTTCCTCCACAAAATACCTACTTCAATCATGTTAAAAAGCCCTACATGTTTCGAGGATAGAAATCCTCATCCTCAGGGGCAAGTTTGCTCACATATTACCAAGTGTCGCTAGATTTCGCATTTGGCAGAGGAAAAAAAAAACAAAGTTAAAACATGTAAAAGTTCACACATTGAAATAAAAAAAAAGTTGAAACATTAACAAAAAATATAAAATCACATCCAAACATAGGACACTATACAGTAAAGGCTTGTTGACTACATCTATTGTCGCTGAATGTCCTAACTTTTTTTTATATTTTATTGTCCTAACTTTTTAATCTTTTATCTTTTTTTTTTTCCTCCGCCAAATGCAAAGTCTAGCGACCTGTAACACTTGGTTATATGTGAGCAAACTTGCTTCTATGGATGAGGATTTCTATCCATCTAGCAGCATCTAGGGGTCTTCAACATGATTAAAGTATTTTGTAGAGGACTACTTTATGTTTTTTGTTTGGAATTAAAACTATTTATATAATTTCGTAACATAAAAATTTGATTTTTCAAAATACAGGGTAACAAATTCGCGAGGAAGTATGGGGGACCTCGGTAACCATAAGAGACACAGGGTCGGAAAAATTGGGACAAATTTACGCAATTTCTCACTTAAATGCCGTTTTGAAAAGATAACGCACTGCTAACATGGGATTTTTGCGCTCTATGGATTTTGCCCATTTTTTGATATGTTGTAGAGCATTTAATTCTTAACAATCTTTGAATGATACCAAATCTTGTACGTATTACGGTCTTTGAGATATGAGCGTTGAAATATGAACTTTTTTGCGAATTTTTGTGTGGAGAGTATACGAAATACTGGTGCTACTGGGGTATCAGTCAAAATATTGACAGGTTCACATATTTTGGGTCACTAACAAATCAGTGTGAACAAAGGCTAATGCTGGGACCGCATCGGGGCCAATTTTTGCGCCAGTGCGGTCGCGGCCCTAGCCTATGTTGACATTTGTGAGTGACGTAAAATATGTGAACCTGTCAATATTTTAAACACCAGTAGCACGTATTCGTTTACTCTCTACACAAAAAGTCGCAAAAAAGTTCATCTTTCAACGCTCTATACTTACTTGTGAATTTATAAAACCCTGTTTTCCTATTCCTCTGCCCCCAAGTATTATTTCTAGCGAGAAAATAATAATATGTGAAAACTTTTTTATAGGAAATTTTTCGTAGAATAATTCAGTAGGTACCTCAGTATTTTATCACAAGAAGCTATAGTTTCCAAGTTATTCAAGAAGAACGTGAAAAAGAGACCATCGGAGACCCCTACAACCTTAGCTCGCCCACCACTCAACAGGACTTTTAGTATTTTGTTCGGGACACCTAACCGAACATCTATTCCAAAATTGGCTTCTACACGAATTATTACCCTTATTCTATAAAAAACTAGAGTAGTAATACAAGATATGGGTAAAGTCGAAGGGTCCGATAAACTGTTGAGTGGAAATATCTAATTTGTCAAGCAATGGATCGAGTGCTAATTCCAGGGCTATCTTTCACTATCGCTAAAATCTGTTCATCATTGGCAGGTGTCATTTGTCTCGCTACCCGTATCCCGCAATCTTTGCGAGACGAACACAAATGTTCTTTCATTAGGTGCCGTTCTGATGGAAAATCTTTTCCTTTGAATTCTGGCAGCTAAATGAGCATTTTGTAACGAATATCCGTAAACAAGTACCATATCTGCATATTCGACGTTTGTAAATATTTAATTTTCAAAAATAATGAATCACCCGCGTTTTCAATACTTCAAGTAAATGACAAAAATCAAGAATCAGTTTATCGGTTCAATCACCTATTCTTTTTTGTACTATGTTGCCAGATGTTTGGAAACAAAATTGCTAGTAACATTGTATTATTATTTTTTTAAATTTTCATTTATTTTCTTTTTTTTTGACTGAAAATTGTAAAAATGCACAATTACTTACTAAAATCTCCTATTGATTAAAATTTTCTTTATCTTTGAAAGATTTGTCACAAAATGACAGACTTACTGATACATCCTGTATACACTTTGCAAAAGTTGGTGAAAATACGGTAAACGAATTAAATGATGAAATCGGCTTTTGGCGGCAAATTGTGCTAATAACATATTCAATAGATTTAACAGATCAAGATAAGTTTAGAGTAGTTATATTGGAACTTACACGGGGCTCGGCCACGGGTCAAGAGGAAATTACAATCACTGATTTATTGAATCTTATGTCTGACATTATCGGAATACTAACACATTTAATTAACAATGTTTTTAATACAGGAGTATTTTTATCGGAGAAGTGAAACTAGTCTGATATTTAAGTCAGATGGAGGGTGTCGGGAATAACTATAGAGCATGTGATGAAGCAACTGAAATGGACTTTTGGAGGAGATCGGCAGGCAGGTCAAAAATGGAGAGGATAACAAATCTGAGAATTAGGGAGATTATGGACGTAAAACACACAATAATAGATGATATAAAGGACAAACAGCTGATTTGGTTCGGACATGTACAAAGAATGGCAGATACAAGAATACCCAAGCAAATAATCGAGTGGAAGCCAGGGGGAAGAAGAAGACGCGGCAGACCAAGAAGAAGCTGGAGAAGTGGTGTAGACGAGGAAATGAAGGACAGAGGCCTAGAAGAGGATGCCTGGATTGACAGAGATGGTTGGAGATCGGGAATCGGAAGACGTAGAACGTTATAAACCGATAATTATATATATATATAAATAGATGAAAGGAAAATTGTTGTGAGTCTCACTCGCGTGCTCTTATGATCCAGATACGTCGGCGGCAACTTTGCGCTGCTGGTAGGGAATCCCATGCCGAACAGGTCAAGGTGAGGAGTCAGACTAAGAGGGGTACCCAAATAGTGGAGGATGTGTGATAAAAAGAAAACAGTACCACAGGTGAGTCAGAATCTCATCGATTCCGATCAGGTGAAAGTGCTGGTGGTCGGCGCCGGCTCCACGGCGCTGTCATTATCTCATGCCAAAATGAAGGGTCGAAACCTTTACAACAAAAAGCCGGCAGAAATCCTGCAGCTGATGAAAACCCAAAATGTAGGACTAAAAACTGATGAATGGCGTGTATTGAACCATGTTAAAGGCAACAGTAATGTCACATTGGTTATGTACATCGACGAAGAGTCCCTGAAGAACCTGGACAAGACCAACATGAGAGCATGTGTGAGATTAGGTAAGGCTTTTCTTAGGGTTCTTGCTTCAGCCAGCAGAGAGAAAGATCACCCAGAAACTGTCTCCGAGCATGAGGCTGTTATAGATAAACCTGCAACACAGTAGGGCAGGGTCTGCGGCTCTGTGCCGCAGACTATCCAACGAGCCCATAACGGTGGCCCTGATCCAAAAATTGTGGATCCTCAGAGGACAAGTGAATGGGCTTGGACTTGCAGGTGGTAAGTTGATATATGACACAACATCTGATAATGCAAGGGCGTGCAATTATGTCCGAAAACACACAGAATGCAGAACTGAAAGACATCATATTTGAAAATAAAATTAGAAATAAAACTAAACAACGGATGTTACAGAATAATAGAAAGATGATACATAAATTGTTTGAATAAGAAATAATATAAATTTTATAAGTTAAGTAGGATTATATTTAAAAATAAAGTATGAGTGAACCATAAGTTAACCCAGATTGTGAAAAATTCAAGAAATGTGACAATATACCCGAAAGTGACTAGAAAACCCAAAAAGTGAGAATTACCAGCATGTGACAAAAAAAAACAGCGCTAACAAACAACAAAAATGAAGCTTCTGCACTTAATGTTTATTTCAGCAATGTGTACCTATTGGAAATTGTATTGTATATTGTATTTGTTTGCGTGCTCATATAAGACAGGTGGTAGAACTACTAACAGGACACTGCCATCTTGAAGCGCATATGTATAAAACGAGAGTCTACAATGGCCCAACGGCATGTAGACTGTGTGGTGAAGAGGAGCAAACTGCCTTACACATAATATACGACTGTGAAGCACTAGTTCGCAGAAGACATAATTTATTTGGAGTGATATAACGCAGCGAGCATGAGAAACTTGCCAGCAAGCTGCTAGATCTTATCAGAGCGACGGGAGTTGGTTGAGCAAGACAGGGACTAGCACAATAAGCCTCAAGGCTGCAGTGCAAATCGGAACACGAGCACGCCTGACCCCGCATCAAACCGACCAACCAACCCCTTTGGTTGACGAATTAACTAGACGTCCATACTATGCTCAGTTTGCTCAGCGAATAAATATTGGGAGAGGGTCAATAGTATGTACAGAATAATAAGGGCGCCACTGAATTAGTGAAAATGAATACCTAAATAAATTACGTAACATATTGAAAGGTGAAAATTCAAAAACACGCTAAAAAAAAATAATTAGCTAACGATTCTGGAAAAAAAAAGTATACAACTCAACCAAATCTTGAAATTGGTAAAACCATTAAAACTACCAAATAATTTTCAAATTAAAATATTGTAGAACTTCCACGGTGATATCAGAATCACAGTGAAGAGAATCAATCCATCAGTCAAATAAAAAATAAAAAAATGCTATTTTTGGGTAAAACGCTCATAAAAACCCAGGTGGAAAATTGATCAATTTTTGACGATGTGAGTGCATACCTTCTCAATGAATTTCAAATTTAGAACATATTGTCAAACCTTGACTTCAATTCAGATTAATAAAATATACTTTTATAAAACATGGCAGTAATAGAATTTATCAAAGATATGGAATAGAAGAGTAGAAATAATGGGTTTAGGACTTTGAAAAGAAAACTTCTTTTTTAAAAAATGCATGCCTATTTTTTTAAGAAGGAAGTTTTATTTCCAAAATCCTGAACCCATTATATCTACTCTATCTGTAAGACTAAGGCATTTATCTGTAAAATATGAAATAATAAATTCAAGAAATCGAAAACCAGAAATTATCTAACAGTCACTCCGGTGTCAGGAATATGAAATTAAAATTTCAAATACAGGGTGTCCCAGCCGAGACTGACCCATTTTAAATACTTATAAATTTTAAACCAGGTGCGCTAGCTACCTGCGATGTGCCATTCGACTTCTCTTGGCCCAAAGTTTTTTTTAGTAGGTTGCAAATTTTTCGCCTCTTATACAGGGTGATTGAAAAAAACTTCCGCTTTTCAACATCAAAATTTTCCACTATTTTTAATGGAACGCCCTGTATATCACAACGTCAAAAAAAAGGGTCATGGTAAAGGTATCCATGTACCAATGAACATCATCCTTGAAACTTAAAGTTTTAGCCGTAAAAAATTGAAATCGAAATCCTGGTATTTTTGCAAACGCATGCAACTCCGTGTTGTAGGTACTTGCTATCATAATGGCAAACAATTTTGTAAATGTCAAGCTAGATATAAACAAAGTAAGAATACATTTTCCAAGAGAATTTAACGAGTTCCAGTGAAAATAGTAACAACAGTAACAGTTTGGTGTGCAATCTCTGTTCAGAAAAAATACGGACCATTTTTCATTAATAAACCAACGATAACAGGAACTGTATACACTGATATGTTGGGAAATTTCTCTTATCCACAATTTAGACAAGAGGGTATCTTGAACGATATCTATTTTCAGCAGGATGGTGCCTTACCTCATTATTCTTTAATAGCAAGGGAATCACTAGATACGACATTTGGGAAAAGATGGATAAGGAGAGCTGGAGGCGAACCACAAACAGTCGCTATCGATACGTTCTCGACAATTTCCCCTCACTTCTCACCTCGTTCACCCATCGCTCATCAAAATTGCCACCGCAAACGATCGTTTGCACCGCAAACGTTCGTTTGAGGTGGCCATTTTGGCGACGAACGTTGAGCGATGGGTGGACGAGGTGAGAAATGAGGGGAAATTGTCAAGAACTTATCGATAGCGATTGTTTGTGGTCCGCCTCCTGGTCCTATTTGGATCCTTACTCCTGAAACAGGGGAGCAACTTTCCCAGGAGAACGAGTGTTCCACTTTCTCAATGAAACGCAAATGATAATATAAGTAACAAAGACGGAACACTCGTGCTCCTGGGAAGGCTGCTCCCCTGTTTCAAGAATAAGACCTATGGACAGCTTACTCTCCTGACTTGACAGTTCCAGACTTTTTTCTCTGGAACTATATCAAGAAGAAATCCTGTAATTCTTCTCCAAATAGTCTGGAAGCTCTTAAGTGGAACATTCGTAATGTCATTGGAGCGATTCCCCAGGAAACGTTACACAATTTAGTCAGCATTAATGCGTGGAACATAATGGCTGACATGTACAGCATTTTTAATAGTTTTATGCAGTTTTTATTAACTTTTTAGTACGCAAATATAATTTCCAAGCTTTGTTAGGTACTATACCTATAGGGTTGTGAATAATAGGGAATCGGTCAATCAATATGTAATTTTATTAACTCTTCTCACAATTGCCTAGATTTCGGAACTCTTTGCTCCTTCTTGAGGGCTATAATATTAAAAAGAATATAAAATAAAAAAAAATTAAATAAAAATTATTTCTCAAATTTCATGCGTGGGTATAATGAATTTGTTTGTAAAAAATGTGTAAATGATGGTATAGATTTGTTTTTTTTTTAATTGATTGATTGATGAGTGATGATTTTGACAAACTGAAGAAACCGTTTTTAAAAAAAAATACTTTAATTAAAAATTACAAGTTTAAAATAAAAAAGCAAAAATACGTGTGAACAGCTCAAAGTCTATGTCTAATTTAAAAATTAAACGTCTATTCTCATGGTGCATCTTGGTTTCAAGTTTCAAAGATACACAATTCTCACGAAACTGCTTATGTCGGCGATGCAATGGTCAGCATGTTCCCATGAATGGCAGACATAACTCCTTCACCCCTAGAAAGAACTCGAGGGCGGAATCACTCGCTTTTCGACCATTGTCTCAGTAGCGGGAGGTTTTCCCAGGATTCTTGAAATTTTCATTTTGTTGTTCTTGATTGCGAAATTATGTCGCAAATCAATATTGCTCTATTAGGATCCATGGAAGCCAATTTATGTATGTACTTTGGTGAATTTTGGTAAATTTTAGAAAATCCTCTGTCGAGCTCTGAAGTTGAAGTTCATATAGTTTGTCCAAAGGGATTTTCTCTAATTTGATTTTCTCGGTCTTTAACACTGGGATTTGGACTGGTTTTATTTCGTTGAGGGTGACTGGATGACCGTGAAATATGTCCTTTTCATTTTTGTATACATATTTCAGCATTTTTATTGGACATTTTGGCGGGACTGTGAAAAGGCGGGTTCTTGAAATTGAAGTTACTTCGCTTTCTACGCAGTCTGTTTGAAATCTTTGTTATTCCGGAAAGATTCCAATGTAGTGGGCGGAATCGATTTCTTCCATAATGTCATTTTGGATATGTACTGGTACTTGTTGACATTGGTCCAAATTGTTGCCCAGTGTCAGCAGTGACGTGATACAATCAGGATTTTCATGTATAGGTAGAAGTCGATTGTTTTTCAGAAATAGTTTGGTTTGAGGTCACTGCATTCTTCATTCTGGTATTGTAAAGGTCCGTACCTAGGGTGAGGTAGGTCGAAGGTGGGATTTTGATGGATTGATTTTTATTAGGTAAGGCGAAGAGGTGGTAATAATCGGAAGTATTTGAATGCATGAGAGGGAAATCCAGTGAAAACACGATATTATTTTCTATCGCAAAAACATTAGTTTCTATTATTTCGTAGTAATTCATGTATTCGTTTTGTGAAAATAACAAATGTGTGTGGTGGTGAGAATATATGAAATTCTTTGACTTATTCTTTTAATTCTTTTTGTGAAATAATGCTATGATGTAAGGTTTTTAAACTAGCAAAGCTTGTGGCATTTTATATATCGTTTCGAAAATTTAGCACAGAGTCCAAATTTAACTTAATTTGGTACATTATTTCGTGAATTTCTAGCTAATGCATGTAATTGGATTTTGTTTGTTGTAAATCACTAGCAATGTCATTGATTTTATCTTGGATTGCTTTTTGATTCCTTGAAACTAAAGTCATTGTTTGATTGATACTTGTCTTTAGGTTAGAGGTTAAAGATATTTGTTTGTTTACCTTTTCAATTATTTTATTTTATTTACTTTCGAGTTTCAAAATATTATCATGTATTTCCTTTGCGTCTTCTTGGTCAAGATTACCAGGTAATATCTTTTACTTGT